AATAATGCGATATATCGTGTTTTAACACTGAATCTACCACACTAATAGACGAAATAAAATTTTTAAAAAATATGAAACACGAGGTGATATCGAAATTTCAATTATACCAGGTGCCCAAAGTGACAACATCGAAGTTCTTAATTCAAAATTTTAAAACTACCATTTGGACCCTGCTAAGTTCAGTGTTATATAAAATCCACAACTTGGGAAAATTATCCAGTTATCTCTATCAAAATTTGTCATCCCCTAATACCCATTTTATTTTACTCTTAAACAATTAACGTCAAACCTGAACTCACTGATGAGAATATTACAGTCCCACTGACAAGGAGAGTGCAAGACAAGGGACTCAATGATGATTGGAAACGGGAAGTCTCATTAAAGAGAAGAGAAAAGAACTGGTGTATCGAATATCACTGGTGTCACACGATTTAGTGACATTTAGTAAAGTTACTAGGAAAACAATTTTTACTGGAATTATTAATTTTAGGAGAATAATTCTACTTAAAGCTTTATTATTCTTAATTACCGATTTCTTGCGAGTAGTTAGTCATGTTCACGAAGAAAATTCCTACCCTTATGGGCCCCAGGGTTCATGTCTCACAATCAATAGTTATTTTTCCACCTATTTTTAATTTTGTATTAATTTTTCGCTCATGAAAGCATAAATTTTAAATAAATTATAAATAAATCTGTAACTAAGGCGATAATAAAAATTTAATCGTAAGTATCTCAAAAATGATTGAATAGTTGCCCTTATAATGGTACATTTTCTTGAACTGAATGACTAAATCTACAAACCTGCAAAGTTTCAACTAAATCAACGACCCGAAGGACTTGCACTCTGCTTGTTAGAAAATCCATGAGAAAATTCATTACCATGATCACCATGGCATTCAACGTGTCAATTAAGCATTCGATAAAATGAATAGAAAATGTCTTGAAATTACTTTTGAAATTGCAAGAGAAGATAATAAAATAATAGTAAAAATTTGAAACTGTGTGGGAGTAAAAGTGCCTATAGTTGAAAGCGGTTTGTTCTCGAGTGGAAAATTAGCCGAAGCTTCTGAGGGCGGAAAATATACAATACGTATCGCGGTAACCGTAATTCCACGTTCGTTCAGGTGGCCACCGAGGAAGCACGGGTGCGCACACACCTATACACGGGACTGGGCCGTCTATAAAGCTCTCATTTTACGAGCACGCTCGCTCGTTCGACAAACATTTCGGTTTCCCTTAATTTAAGACCGTCGGGCGAATGAAAACAAATTGGCGAGAATAGGAAAACGTTTCCAGTTGATTGGAGGAAATATCCGGGAGAGCCCGAAAGGGATTGCTACGCGAGCAAAGAGGAAGTGGGGAAAGGGAATAACCAAGGGACTTCTGAAAACGGTGATCACGTTTTTTTAATTAAAGCGAAAGTTGGACCCCCCGCGGTGAGGAATCCCCGGGACAATCGAGACGGCCGGTTTAATCACGACGTAATAATGACGGCAAATAAATTAAACTGGACCCGTAACGCTGTCCGCTCCAACAGCCCCTCGAAGAAAGATCGCGTGCCGGAAACAAAAGACCGACAGAACGATTCAATAAACTTCGGAACGTGCTATCTACAGCGTGGAGATCAAGCTTCGCTGGTATCTCGAGATTTACCGACTATTTTACCCAAGTTATTCGATTTTCTTTCTTTCAGCCCTTTGCACTCGACGATTTTTTGGCTAGAGAAGAGTAGAAATTCAAAGATCCTCTACTAAAAAAGCTGACGATACCTTTTTGAGCAGTAAATAAAGAATCGTATAATAATAGAATTGTAGAATTATTTGATTTCGATACCTCGTACACAGTTACGTTACGTTAAATTTGATATATTAATTAATATCGATCTTCCAAATTTTATGAAATGGTGACTGAGAGTCACCTCTCGAGTGCAAAGGGTTTTAATCTCGAGACTTTGGAATTTCCTTGCTGGTTTGTTTAAGTACAATTTTCGTGGTTTCGAAAATTTATATTTTCAATGTATATTTATTGCAAAATAATGCACTGCCCCCTTAAATATTTCTACTGCATCTAAATAATAATATATAAATTTAAAATACTATGTATTGTAAATATATATAAAATAAATACTAAATATTAAATACTTCCACTTTCTCTATATAATCATAATAAATGAATATAGATAGATAGATTTATTTATTTCAGCTTATACTGCTGAGAGAATCCAAGAAATGGACTCGGTTTTACATTAAGTCTATCTTGTATCTTTCTTTTGCTGTTCATCTTTTTCATAGAAGAACTATATATACTCAGACAGACACATGTGCCTTTTATGTACAAATGTTCATATATACGTACATACCCAATCGTACCTCTATACACCTACATATTTATATAGTATAATATAATATAATATAACATAACATTATATGATTTAATCTAGCATGGTATAATATAAATATTTTATTTATAAATAAATGAATATATATATTCCTTTTTTACTATTTAGATTCACTGGAAGTATTGTACTTAATGGACTATACAATGTATATTGGATATGTACATTTCTGATTATTTGGAGGTAGTGGGTTATTTAGCATTTTTTATTATTATAAAGAGAATTTTAAAAAGCAATATACATTATTTCAATATACAATATATATTACACATTATTTTTTATTATTTATAATTTAGTATTATTCAATATTTATTTTACTTTATTTTATTACTAACGATTACCTTCTGGCTATTTCTTCTTATAAATTTTATATACCGTTAGATGAAAATTACATTTGTATTTATGCATTCTACGATATTTATTTCGATTTAAATTACAAAGAGAATTTTAAAAAACAATATACATTATTTCACTGCATTTCTGCACTTTTTGTTTTATGGAGTTAATCAATTTGTGCAGTGAACGACTCAATTAATCCACATAATCAACGTTCTACTGCACTAGCATGTGCTCGTAAATAAAACTAGAAGCTCGTTAGATTTCGCCATTGAAACGAGGAGGAAGATAAAGCGTGCCATTAAAACGAATTAACCTCATGGCTGGCATGGACGCAAATATCACTAGCATCGACTGTTATTCTTAGCCATAGTTCGTTCGATAGTTCCTCCTCTGACTGTCGAGTCAGATAAACACTTATCGGGCCCGGATTGACGACCAACCAACGGCATAGTAAATCCGCATTATCGTTATTAAACAGTTACGACTTTCCTAGAATCTGTAAACAGTCACTCGAGCGAAAGTAAACGCATCTCTGCGTGGACAATGAGATCGAGGATCTTGCGGAATCATTTCGCAAACAGAGATTAAAGGATTAGCTTAACGGATTCAGACCGGCCTGATTTGCTACCCCGACTATCAACTGGCCCTGCGAGTTATCGCTCTGCTATAATTGGACCACGTTCGGCCAAGTAATTCATCGCTGGAATTTTTCAGCCTCATATTTTCTTAATTAAACGAGGAGATTGAAATTCTCTGTGTTTCAAACGAAGAAGTTTTCACCTACATTTGAAGTGGATATTTTATTTTTATTTTTGAGGAAACAGGTTTGTTTGAAGGGATGTTTTGATTAGTGTAATATATAATTTTAACCCTTTGCACTCGGCGATTTTTTAATTTAAGAAGAATAGTGATTCGAAGACATTTTGCATAAAGTCATCAGTTCTGATACTTTTAAAATGGTAAATAAGAAATCGAATGCAAATTGAGATGTGGAATTATTTTATTTCCGTGTACTGAATCCGAATTCTAAATAAACCCTATCATCCTAGGTTTATGAAATAAATTAATTAAAAATATCGATTTTAATTACTCTTACGAAAATAATTTAAAGCCTGTCATGTTTTTTATTTTTCAATGTATTTATTAATTGCTCCTAACAGTACTAATCTAGTCCTGTAAAATCAAATTTGATTTATAATGAAACTATTTTATCTTTTCAACAAGATATACCCCCTGTACAATAAAATTTGGTTTATAACGAGACTAATTTTTAATTTTGCCGATATATACCCTGTGCAAAATAAAATTGAATGTACAATGAGATTATATTTTTCTTTTTCTACCAATATGTATTATAAAATTATCTTTTAATCTTATTTTCTATGTGTAACGAGATCATTTTTCTTTTCCCAAGCTACAACCCCCACAAAATTAAATTTGATTCATAATGAAACTATTTTTTCTTTTCACCAAGATATACCCCTTGTAAAATAAAATTTAGTTTATAACGAGATTATTTTTTAATTCTACCGATACATACCCTGTGCAAAATAAAATGTAATGTACAATGAGATTACATTTTTCTTTTCTTACCAATGTGTATCCGATTTTAATTTAATTTTCTATATGTAACGAGATTATTTCTTTTTCCCCAAGTTATAACCCCCGTAAAATTAAATTCGAGTCATAATGAGATTATTTATTTCCTTTTACCAAGATATACCTTCTGTATAATCAAATTTGATTTATAACGAGACTATCTTTTAATTTTACCGATATATACCCTATATAACATAAAATTTAATGTATAATGAGATTAAATTTTTCTTTTCTTTACCAATATGTATCCCCTTTTAATTTAATTTTCTACGTATAACGAGATTATTTCTTTTTTCTCGAGCTATAACCCCCGCAAAATTAAATTTGATTTATAAAAGGATTATTTATTTCCTTTTACCAAGATATACCTCCTATAAAATGAATTTGATTTACAACGAGACTATTTTTAATTTTCACTCGGATATACCGTTTCCAAATTATTCGGGAAACACAGAAAATCGGGTGTACCATTATTCCATCGCGAAATGGAAATTCCCTGGATACAAACGACTCATTGTATAGTCATAATTCCGAAGGAGTCGAACAGAGGAGGCACATCCGCGTCACGGAGTCGCGCATGTACATAAATAGGTTGGGTAAACAGTGCGCGGCCACGGGTATTTAAGCACGGGCACGCGTGTACAGAGTACGCGCCGATATACACGTTCGTCGGACCCCCGTGAGTAATGCGTCGTAGATAACGAACTGAAATCCCATCAGAATCCGCGTTCACGGTTTCAATATACGCCAGAGTCGCGTGTGAGTCCCGCCGTGCCGGACGGAAAATGTTGCGCGCGCACCGTGCACTTCCGGTGCTGATCTGCGCCGCGTGTCTGCTCGTCTATTGCACACCCTGTTCTCCGGATATTGGACAACCGCTGGACTTGAGTCAGGTAGTGTATGGCCGTATCGATTGGCTAGGAATTCAAGTCGAAAATGCTACGCGAGTGAGATACGTGGGAAGAACGAACGTGCGAGAACGTGTGATAATTCATAGCGCGTGAATCGAGGTAGAATTATTACATATGAATTGCATTGAACAGAAAGAAAGGGATGCTAGAGACTAAAATATATTAATCACGAGCTAGAAGGAAATTAATACTAAGTACTAATGTAGGAATAGTAGGTTGAGAGTCAGTGCAAAGGAACACTTAGGCCTATCTAGCTGGTGACGAGCTGGTGACAGCAACCTAGGGTTCAGATTGAATGTTTAAAGGACATTTGAAGTGTGCGTGGAAGAACGAGTGACCGTGTGCAAGGATCGGATGAACGGAATATTCATGACTGTATGGAATGCAAGTGAAGAGCGAAAGGCACCCGATTGTTTAGGGTACGTGACCCACCTCGAGAGCGAGGCTATGGGAAATGCGTGATCGAGAAAGGAAGCTTGAGTATGAAAGAAGACAGAGTGCAAGGTTTAAATGAGGATGCAAGAGCTGCCCTAAGTTGGTGAGAGTTATATACGAGGTTTGAAAGAGAGTCGAGTCAGTAACAGTTGGAAGAGTTGACTGAGAGTGTGAATTGCATAATTAGTCGAATCTTTCAGTTTGTATTTTATTCTTAGGTTTCTTTAGATCATAAATAAAATATATTGGAGTTAAATGATACCCTTGATTCCCTATATTTGCCTATACTTGCAAAATATTATCACCTACACTAATTTGACTTATAACAATTGCACTGATCCAATGACTGTTTGATTCCCTGATTCACAGACACTATGAAAGCTGTTCTTTGTACTATGACTCCTCGTACTATGACCTTCTGTATCCGCATATACGATGCATCTCCAAAATACAACGCGTACTGTCACGCGATGCACACTGTGCATCCCACCTAGGCATACCTAAATGAGCCGTGAGATCGGTATTTCGAATTTTTATAACACGATTCGAGTTGGAATCTTGGAATATCGGGGGGCAATGAACAAAGTGTTCTTTAATCCTTTGACTGCCACGCCGAAATCACAAGTTTCCCTCAGAACGTCACGAGAGTGCACCACTAGACGCAAGATTTGTTCTAATATGTTTTTGATCTTCTAATAAAAATTTGTAATCGTTCAATGGTGCACTTTCTACTTCAAAGTATCTTCTAATTAGTGGTTATCTTCAAAATGCGCTAACTCTCAATTTTCATTCAATATAGTTGAATGTATTTCAAGTAGTTCAAGCGCTCCGGTTAAATGACCACCGGTGACGTCACAAGAGAAACCGTGGCCATCTATGACCAATATGACAGTCAAAGTGTTAAATCCTAATTTAATCCTAAACAAATCCTAATACAGTTTATTTTAGTACTTACTTTCTCACTACAACAAATTTAATTAAACAGAGTGAAAATCCGCAAAGAAACCATAGCAATCTTCGCTTCACGAATTCCCGAAGCAAATCTCGAAAAAGCACAAAAAGACAACGAAAGACCTTCAGATATCGAATCTGTCTCGTACCTCATTTCACAACCTAGTTTCTACCTCAGCCTAGTTCCCAGATAGAAAATTGTCCATGAAAAACCTATTTCCACGACCGCTCATGAACCTACCGGGTGTCAAGGATGTATAACTAGTGTCAGAATCCGAACGAATTTCGAATATCTTTATATCGAAAAAATCTTCGAGTGCAAAGTGTTAAACCCATACTCCGGAAATCCGCGTGCGCCGCGTAAATACAAAGCGGATATAGCAAACAGCCATGTTTACCGAGCATTCGTTTGCCAAACATTTAGCCGACACGGCAACCTGCGCGAACATCCATACGACCAGGTACCCTGCAATTACTTTAATCGGAGCATATTTGCCGACGTGCACAAGCGGAAGCTCGGCTCGCGTTCGCATAATCACATCCGTAAGACTGGTATCGGGCTATGGCGCTGTCAGTCGCGCGATATCCATGAACATGACTAGGCTGTGTCGACACGCGTAAATTCGGAAATGCATGCGTGTCAATATTGGACCGTTACGCAGAGGATCGTGCACGTTAATTTTCGAAATTGCATGCGTGCGCACGGTTCCCGTTTGAATTTACGCGCGCTGTCAAGTGCACCGGGCGCTCGAGAGATAGAGCCGTCGCTGGGCGGAGAGGTGGAAAATTGTTAAACGGTGAAGTACCGTTTCATCGAGATAATTATTCTCGAAGGAAAAATACCACGCTATCGATTCCGTACCCTGAGTAAAGCGCTATGAGAGGTGTCAACGTTTGGCCACCATATGGGGCAATAATTCATGGCGTCGCTAGAAAACTCCTTGCAACTTCTACCATTTATCCTAACCAATGGAGCAATACTTGTAGCCCTACCCAGAGTTCTTATGAGCTGGAAACTTTGTGACTTTCATGTGAGAGAGAAAGAGAGAGAGAGAGATATTCGTCATAAGATAGACGAGACAGAAAGGAGTCAAGTTTAAAAGATGGAAGACTATATGTGGGATTGGAATAAGTATGGCCCTGAAAGAATGCCAAGTGTGTTTGGACTTAGGATGAAAGTGACCGCATGCAAGCGAATTAACTGCAAAGAATGTTTATGGTAGGGTCAAGCGAAAGTTCAGGGATGCGTCCAGAGTGGTTGAAGTACCTGGCCCACGGAGGTTGCATGGGAAAAGAACAGAATGAATGCTTTAAATAAGGGTGCAAGGGCGTGGGCAGCTCCAGTCTCTACAGTCTCGAGAACAGTCATCAGTCATGAACAGTTTACAGTCTTAAACAGTCTTCAGTCCTTAAGAGTTCTTAAGCTAGTGTCTAAGAGTATGTCGGTAAGAAGTCAAAGTCGAACGTGCCCATAGCGAATCCCTCTTGTTTCATAGCCGTCAATCTACGTATAAGCTTATTGTATTTTATTAAGAAGTAAAACAACACTATTTTAGCCAATCCACCCAAACCGATCCCTACATATATATATTCCTTCAACAGAAGACCTTGTCTACCATTCACAGCAATTGGAAACACAGTCCACTACTCGCTTCGAAAACTATGCAATTTTCCTTTGGGAAACGGACTATAGTCCGTTCAACGAGATATCGAATGCACGTGATAAGTGCATGACCAAATCAGGGCTGACTTCACAGTATCCGGACCCAGTGATTGGGGGTCCTGAAAGGGGTTCTGGAATTGTGGAATGAAGGTCCAGGAATTGGATCATGATATTTTATCAAAAATAGTTTCATTTTGTTATTTTATGAATTAGTATAACACAAATTGAACACCATTTTCATAATTAAATATGTTAAATATTTTCGTAATTAAATAATCAAAAATATGCAAATTGGTCAGGTTAGGAAGGATCAAAAATACAGGAAGTTATTTCACTCGAATTTCATACTTGAACTGGTCACACACGAAAATGTAGACATACCTAACTAAAATATATGAGGAATATCTATAAAATAGATCAAAAAGTGTATCATGATTGATATATTATAATTTAGGTATAGGAATAGAGATTTAATATTGGAAATATAGGAATCCAGAAAATTTGGAGTTGAAAGAAACACAAAAATATCGAATTTGTATGTCAGTTTCCAGGAGAATGGTTTTTCGCTGCTGGCACCCCGATAAACGAAAGTCTGAGTAGATGCGGACGGTTCCTGGTCAGACAGACGTCCTCTAACACGTTCACTGTGAAATTCACGGCCCTCAGTTACAAGAACGATATTCCAATAGCTTTTAACATTGCCGGAAGCGTGAATGGGAAAGAAATCGTCGCTACCTGGCAATTTCAAGGATCAAAAAGAAGACTAGGTAAATATTTTATTTAAACCCTCTTGATGATGAAAGCCGAGATAATTAACTCGTACATTCTCCGAGTTTCAAATTACTATCTCGAACTACTAGTCTGACTTATTATAACACATAACCTAGATCGAATCTATATTTTAAATTATAGTATGAATTGGTATTACTATGAAAATAGTATTATTATGAAAATTCATAAAATAAATTAAGATTTAATGAACCAAAAAATATTGCAGTCTATCATTTTACAAAAAATATTATTTTTCGAGGGAAAATTACTCTTACAACCCTCTGCACTTTTAATTCTCTTCTAATTTCCCTCTGTCACTTTAGATGTTTTATTTTAACATACTTAAAATAAATTATGTAATAGAATGATAGGAAAAAATTGGAACCAATTTCCTTTGCTAATTATTTTGACAATACGTCAAAAATGTAAAGTATGAGTCGAAATTTTTAAAAGTTACAGAGTTAAAGTAAAAGTGCAGAAGGTTAATCGAGATTTTGAAACAAGGTACACTAGCAACAATAAATATCGCAGAATCCACCATTTTTCACCACCATCATTTCGCACACGTCATATAACTAGAGAAAGAAATCTAATAATTTGTGAAAAAGAAAATTTCTTTTAACTATATTAACTATAACATGAGAAAACTTCGATAATATGTCACGGTCGATCATCTGGAAAATTTGAAAATAAACGTGCCTTGACCTTTAACAACCGAGTCTAAGCAAGGTACCCTGCACCCAAGTACTACTCTAAGAACGTGTGTGAGAGGGTAGGCTCTAAATAAAACGTTCTCCATAAAGCCAACCCAGACCTTTGCGAACCTTGACACGCGAATCGATGGGAGTAATACCTTCAATGGCGTAGCATCGATGTGTCGGCCTAGTTAACACGAGAGGCGTTCGATCAGCTAACCCTTTCGCTGTTTTGTCTTTAATTTCTATATGACGAAATAACTCTAGCAATTAAATTTTTACATTATATTAATTAATCCTGGTACGAAAGGTGCTAAAATATACTAACACTTTGGGATACTGTTATACTAAATTATACTATTTTTCATTTGATAACTGCTGCTTTATCTGTACAGTAAAGGATCTCACTCAGATCATCAGTACAGTACAGTATAGTACAATACAGTGCAGTACAGTGCAGTACAGTACAGTACAGTACAGTACAGAACAGTGCAGTACAGTACAGTACAGTACAGAACAGTACAGTACAGTACAGTACAGTACAGTACAGTACAGTACAGTACAGTACAGTACAGTACAGTACAATACAATACAGTAAAGTGCAGTACAGTACAATACAATACAATACAATACAATACAGTAAAGTGCAGTACAGTACAGTACAATACAATACAGTAGAGTGCAGTACAGTACAATACAATACAATACAATACAGTAAAGTGCAGTACAGTACAGTATACAGTACAGTACAATACAATACAGTAAAGTGCAGTACAGTAGAGTACAATACAGTACAGTACAGTACAATACAATATAGAAAAGTAGAGTACAGTAGAGTACAGTAGAGTACAGTACAATACAGTACAATTCAGTACGAGATCTCGCTATCTTACTCATGCGATTTAGTATGCCTTTATCAATGTGATCTAGGTGTCCATATAAATCATATTTCTTCGTCCATCTTACAATAAACTTGACTATATTCGTTGGAATATACTTAATATAACTGAATGGTATACACTGATAGACGAAGGTATTCGAAGCTTACATCTCGTTACTTTTATTCTATGAAGCGAATGTACATATTTTTATAATACGATTCCTGTAATAAACAGGTAATTTCAAGATTATATTAATAAAGTTAGAAAACAATTCAACGATATGTACGATGTTTATTGTATACTGCATTTATTAGAGATATGGGCCGTGGTGGCGCTAGTGAGTTCGGTGGAAAACCGCGCTAAGACTACCACAGAGGAAAAATGTATTAAAATTATACTAAAACTTATTTCCTTTCAATCAACGATATTCTAATCCTAGAATAAGCACAAAGTCTTCCAATATTAACATAGTTCACCAATAACCCACATATATAATACATGCATTGCGAATATTATATGTACACATCGTACAATTATTCGTCATATTATTATTCATCGTACAATTAGTGAGATAATTTTTACATTTTCCTTCTTCTATATATACCATTAACGTTTCAAATATTTCAATGCCTCGAATACTTTCGTGTATACCAATCTCCTTACCCCTCTATTAATACATACTCTATATTTTATGCAACGAAGAGAAGGAGACACTGTTATCAAGCCCTCAAACTCCATCCATCAATCCATCAATATCGAACCAAAATAAAAATTCTCCTGTCCACGTCTCCTAATTTTATTATTCAAACAACGAAAGGGTTGAAGTTCATCGATACTGCACTAACATAATCTCGCTGACCCCTTTTCCCTTCCCTTTCTTCGCGGAATACTTTGACCAATGACAACGATTCGATAACCAAGATGGCGTGAACTAACTCGAAGATTTTATATTCCCAGGGCCCTTTCGTCACGTTGTAACTTTCGTGGAGTATGACAAGGTTCTCGGGATGCTGGTCTGCTCTGATAGCACGAGCCATCGACAGGGCTACAAGTTCGCCATGATTTGGTCCCGGGAGAGGAGCTTGCCTTTGCCGATCTTGAAGGAGCTCGAGTACAAGCTGGGAGCATACATTAATCAAGGGAGAATCCGGCTGGTGGATCACGGCAACTGTTAAACAAACCGGAAACTTCCATGGAACACCGAGTCCCGATACACTCGCAGCTCAGATAATTTGCTTTCGCGTCTAATCGATGATCTACGCGGCACGAATTGAATTTTCCTTGCGTTTCATTGCGTTTCACGGAGACCAATTTGTACGGTACACGAGGAAGATCACGTTTGTCCTTCGAGTTAGGCGAATTACTCATCCTACGCCAGTGTTCTAAGCACGAATTGTACGAAAAATTTTATTTCGCGTATTTTCACGTAACGAAACCTATTTCAACAATAATAATAATAATTGGAGTTCGAAGAAACTAAAATAATTTTCATTCCATGTTATTTCATGTCAAATGCCAAGTCAATTTCTTTTTCTCGACACATCGTTGAACGGCAATTTTACTTCGAATTTTGGCTATTATTTTGTAATTAGAAGTACAAGTGAAACAATATAAATAAACTATAATAAACTTTATTTAACACATTGCGTACAGCACTCTGCTCGTGCAACGCGCTTCCAGGGCCCGCACCTTTTTGGACGATCCAGAAACACTTTATACGATGCATATATGCACCTTTTTAATTCGCATTTGGTATTATATTCACATGAGGTATTAGAATAAAAATACGCGAGACTTCGTTACTCTGGTAACGTAACAAGCAAATCTATTTTTAATTCCTTAAATCATCGAAGAGTCGAAGAAAGACAAGATTAATATAAAAATTATAATTAATTAATAAATTAAATAAATAAATTATAAAAATTATAATTTAATATAATATATAATTTATATAATAATATATAATATATTAATTTATAATTTTAATATCGAATTTAATATAGAAATTATTTACGCGTAATGGTACATGACAGGTTATGCGAAACAAATGCATATCACGAGTGCAACTCGTGACTGGGCTACAATGTGTCAATTACTATCCTCGTCGCTTGAAATATTTATATATTATCTTATCTATATATTAGTTACGTCTATACCTAACGTACTAACACATGTATCAACTATATTCGATAAAAGAATCACGTGAATCGCGTTAAGATGTCACACTGACGTGGTGTACACGTTACTGGCGATTTTGGAACAAACGCATCTCGTCGTGCGTGGCACGTTTTTCTAGCGCAAGTGGTTAAGGATCATTTACAACGCTTGTATATCGTCAATAGGTCGACCGCAATTGGAGACGGCTAATGACGAACCAAATCTCTTGAGGAACTTGTGTTTTTAGTGGACTGTATATTTTGTAATAGTTCCGGTTAACTCTTCTGAACTCTTCGAATGTTATTTGCTGACTGACTGGTACTGACCTAACTAACTTGTGCGATGCACGATCTTTCGGAGCCCATGGTTTCCAAAGGGAAATCGGTTTTCCCATTGGTGGTTGACAGGACCGAGGGTGGGCCCTCGGTCCGCGAATCAGATGCCCCCAAAGAAGGGAGGAACGTCTTCCGCGACCAGGTCTGCCGGTGGAGGAAGCCTCTCCCTCAAAGGGGGTTGCTGGTGGGCCACCCGCGCATTCGTGATCCTTCCTGAAGGACCCGTTACTTTATGGCTCCGAAAGTCGCGACATCGCACATGGCCTGGTCCCTTTCTTTGCAGGCCTATTCTCAGCCAAATCCTAAGTGCTGTTGCCTGCTTTCTAACATTAATGGCTAAAGAATGCCTCGTGTCCGGTGACCCGAGGGAAATAAAGAATTGTTTGAAAATGCATTGAAAATGAAGATAGAAAGGACACGGAACTTGAACTAAAACAGCAATTAGAATCTGGCTGCCAGAAGACCCTAACGGTCTTCTGGGTCTGTTCTAGACAAAGGGCCGAACCAAATACCGGCACGACATTCCAAGGCTTAACAACGCTCATTGTCGATTAACCGATATCAACGAGGAAAAAGAATTTCAAAATTGTACTTACGAATGAAGCTACTTTAATCTCCAGGAGAAATGAGTGGACTGGGCCAGAGAACCGCGTAGAAGGCGACAACTTCTCGTTTCCATGTGTCCTCTTCAACGACCACAACATTACTGCGTGTTCGATCACGTTCCTCGACCAGCTTAGAATCGTCGAGACGGTCGACGGTCGTTCTTTGTTTATAAGATCGTGCAAAACGAATCTCGTCTAACCTCCAAATCATCTATCTTGCCTTGCTCACCATACGCGAGGCTTTGTTGATCCCAGAAACGCGCATAAATTCTTAGACTAGTCGATAGTTCTTCATCGAAATTGAAAATATTTTCTTATATTCGTGACTTTCGTGTTTCTTTAATTATTTCGACCGATATGCTTCGTGGATAGAAGCAAAACGTTAGTGACACGCGAATAAGAGTGGTAATAATGATGAGTTGAAAAGTGTAATTATGGGATATGTTTATAGACAGCACTCTCGTAAAATAAAGCATTCGAGAAGGGTGACGTAGGACTCACTCGCTGAGCTCATGAAATATTCGAGTAACAACTGAGCCAAGAACATCAACACCTGCGGTCGAAATGGTATCTTCAAATACTGGGGCATATCACTGGCTGCAGTGTCTGCCAGGACGCGAATCACCGATAAAACTGCCATAAACGATTTATTCCTTGGGATGGTAACTTTACGCGCGGAATGCTTCGAAGTCGAGTACGGGAATGTACGGTAATCGAATAAATGTTAGAACTGAAGTAAAATTAAAAAATACGTGTAAAAATTGTATCTTTTGGGTGGAAAATATATTTATGACAAGTTTGGAAGAAATTTATGGAGAACATATATATTATTTATATAATATAATATTTATAGAAATGATTTCCAATATATTTTGAGGATGATTTTGTACCGTATACAGAAGAAATGTGTTTTATGGGATTACTATATATTATAAATATTTTGTAAAATAAAGCAGTGACTAAAAAGATTATTTTTAAACCTTGCGAAGTTCTTGGATAAAAATTCTGTCAACCGAAAAACAAATACTAAATTTCTGGATTAACTAAACATCAAATTTCCAAATTCCTTAAAAACCTAAGAATAAAGTATTATACTATTTTCAAGTAACTATTAATTTTAAAAAATGATCCATATCCTTGATATTATTAAATTAAAATTCTTGTATTAACTATTAATTATTTAATTAAAAATTTTTAATCAAAATGTACAATTTCTAGGCAACGAAGAAATCATTTATATTTAACTCGTTCATTTTCGAGATAATTTAATTTTTAGATCATACTAATTAATCCTACTAAATAATTACACCCTTTTTCATTTAATAATCTCCATTTTCGTTCCCCTATCAAAATTCAAAAACAATTTATTTTAAATTAATACCCCACCCCTGAAATAATTAAAATATTCAATTAATCTAAATTCGTTATTATTATAAATTTATAAATATTAATTTTGCGGTAAAGTCTTCGCGAAACTTTTCCACAAAATAAAAGCTGCAAATAAAGGGAAGCTATTTTTAAAAGCCGCTCTAATAAACACCAACACCTGCAGCGAAATTCTCTCGAAAAACCGTACAAAATTGCCCGTGCAGAAAGTGGAAGGAAAACGTGAATAACGCGTTGCAATTCGGGTGAATAGCAGGTTTACGCATTTCCACGGCAGCTTTGAAATATACCACCCCATAACGTGCACTCTGGCCGGCCGGTTAATTGAACGTGATTACAACTATCGCGGAAACTACCCTAGGCTCTAGGTAACGAGCATCGACGCTGCAGCTCGACGTAAAATATCGAAGTGTAAGTTCGCCTAAACTCCAACTCGAAGATGGAACATTTCGCGATATTAACACACTGAGCACCGGTGGCATATGAGACATTTAAAGCCCGAGCACCGGCCTCATTCGCATGTTCCCGAACAATGAGTAGCTAAAGAAAATATTTAAAACTCACACATTTTCTTAAAATACTATATTTTGATCGCATATTCGTCATTCTGTGGACATTTCGCTATTACTAGAATCATCGGAATTACTCGAATATCGTAATGGAACAGCTCTTGATATTCTCCTTGGACCCAAATCGCTATCACTGTCCTCGACTCGTATGCCAGAATCTTCCGAATGTATCGAATAATCTGATAGAGGGTCAGCGATATACTCGTTGAAAGCTTCGCTCATATTATACGGGTAAATAGTTACAGAATAATAAGACTTATTATACTGTTCAACAAAACGCGTAAACCTACGAAAGAGGTACTAACTACGGAATACACTGCTCGAGAGTGATTCTTGCTTCGATAGTTTCTGAAGCATCGTATACGTTTTATTTTCGGAGTATAACAAATGCAGATCGTCGTAAACGTGACAAGTGAATGCAAATTGACGTGTAAGACATCCATACAAGCAGAAAAGAATCCTCGTCATCGCGAGGGCGAGAGTCAAGTGACAAATTTACAAACCCGCATTATCACGGGGCCGGTGCTCAAGCGACAGACTCAGAAACCCGCGTTTTCACGGGACCGGTGCTCAATGTGTTAAGAAATATCCGGTAATGACGTTTTTAAGTAACTTTCATCCCTCAAGGTATTTCTAACTCTTCGAGTCTCCATTACGCATAGTACCTCAGAAAGTTGGATACAACCTGTTAAAATATGAAACCGAAAAGCCGAATTAAAACACGAAAATAACGTAGGTAGAAGTAAAAGTGTGCATTAGAACAAATGAACTTAGAAAATTTAGAAAATTTCATACACGATCCAGATAATTTAGAAAACTCTTCGAATGAAGGAAAGGTAGACTTATCTTACCTCGCTGTTTATCACTACGTCTTTTAATGAAATTTTTCTACGCAATTTCCTTAAAAACTGGCGAAGAGACGAAAACAGGGTTGGCAAGGAGATCGATGGAAGCGTTTTCCTGTAATTCGAAACGTCTTAGACGTTCGGAATCGTTCAATCGTTATTAACTGCAAAAGTAAACCAAAAGCGTCAACTATAAGTGGGTGATATCCCACTGAACGCGATCCAAATATCACGTATAGAAGTATAAGCGCGTGTGTGTGAGGATGAGCGACGAACAGAGGTATAAATCATCACGTTTAGTACGTAAGAAATACAGCAGAGTTAAACAAGTGTATACCAAGATCGTTAAAACCAGTAAAATAAAAGTAATATCTTTTATTAAAATCCTAAAGCCTCGTTATGAACGATGATCGGTGTATTAGTCGAATTGTTCCATCTTTCCATCTACCTCCGACCACCTTACCCCCCGTTCTCCACCCTCTGTGACCCACCCCCATGCCTTTGAATGCGACCTGCAGATTTTCCGGCACAAAACCTAGCCGTAAATCC